GTGTTTATGCTAGGGATGAGAAAAAGGCATTTGAGTGGTATTTGAAATCTGCTGAAGGTGGCGATTCAGATGGACAAAATGGCCTTGGATTTTGCTATCGGAATGGCATAGGCACAGTTAAGAATGAAAAAAAAGGATTTGAGTGGTGTTTGAAGTCTGCTGAAGGTAGCAATTCAGGTGGACAAAATGACCTTGGATTATGCTATAAGAACGGCATAGGCACAGTTAAGGATGAAAAAAAGGCATTTGAGTGGTATTTGAAATCTGCTGAAGGTGGCAATTCGACTGGACAAGTTAATGTCGGATTCTGCTATCGAAATAGTATAGGCACAATTAAGGATGAAAAAAAAGCATTTGAGTGGTTTTTGAAATCTGCTGAAGGTGGCAATTCGGGTGGACAAGTTAATGTCGGAATCTGCTATTGCGAAGGCATAGGCACAGCCAAGGATGAAAAAAAGGCGTTTGAGTGGTATTTGAAATCTGCAGAAAATGGCGATTATAACGGACAATATAACCTTGGATTATGTTGAAATGGTTATGGAACATCACCTAACCAGGAAAAGGCTATTGAATGGCTGCAAAAAACGAAAAGGAATAACGATAATAATTTTCAAATGGCGGTTGACTACGAAAGTTTTGATGATTCTCTAAAAAAATTATTATCCGACAATAAGTTATTAATATCGTGGATTCCATTTGAAGAATTAGAATTTCTTGGAAAAGTTGGAAAAGGTGGGTTTGCAACTGTGTATGCTGCTATTTGGGAACGAACAACCACAAGTGGAATTTTAAACCAGCTTGTTGCACTCAAATTATTTCATGGATCAAAAAATAGCTGCGAGGAACTTATAAAAGAGGTATTTATTTTATAACACAATTTTTATAAATTAGTCATTACTTTCAATTACTAATATTATGTAATTTTAAAGTTAATCGCATATTCAAATATTGGATCTAAAAATCCCACATTTTTACAATGTCATGGAATATCAAAAGATGAAAGTACTGACGATTATATTTTAATAATGCAATATGCGCCAATGGGATCTTTACGTGAGAACCTTTATGAAATTGCACAAATGAAATGGGAGAAAAAATTAGAATTATTATCCTACATCGCATCCGATCTTCAATTAATTCATTCAAATAATATTCTTCATTGTGATTTACATAGTGGTAACATATTTCAAAATAATTTATATAATGCTTATATCGGTGATTTAGGATTTACAACATCGATTAATAAAGCATTAGACAAAGAATCAAGAGGAATTTATGGAGCTTTGCCGTATATAGCACCGGAAGTTTTGCAAGGAAAACCGTTTACCAAAGCATCAGATATTTATTCTTTTGGAATGATTATGTGGGAGATTTCTTCAGGAAATGTTGTATTTTCTAACTATAAAGATGATGATTCAAGTTTAGTTATTGAAATTTGTTTTAAAGGAACGAGGCCGAATATTCTTAAAGGTACAGCAACATGTTTTGCTGAACTTTTGAAGAGGTGTTGGGATGAAAATCCAAACAACCGTCCATCAGCTTCAGAAATTCATAAAACAATTTTAAATTGGAAAAATAATACGGAAATTTTTGTTGAATTTTTAAAATCTGATAAAGAAATGGAGATCAAAAATAATAGCTTTAATAATATGGAAGATAGTACGATTTATACTAGCAAATTTATCAGTTATATCAACCAGCTGTCATAATAATAATGTATTTGAATAAAGGTTTTCCAGGAATACAAAGCATATATTATTGTTATAATAAACAGCTTTTAGACTAAGGGGAGAAATCAGCTGATTTTTTAGGGTGAGGTTTGTGATTCAATCAAGTCATATATTTAAATTTAATTGGCTAATATTTGAATCAGGTGGAGGTGGGTGGTACAGCCTGATCTCTGTCCCTCCCCTAAGCTATTTTATTGGCATTATTACCTGTTACAAAAGTATAGATGGACGTTATGCATTAAAAGGGTCCATTTTTACATAAACAGTTTTGAATTTAAAAATGGTCTACAAGTATAAATAAATAAAATTTTCTGCTTAAAGTTCATTTTGTGAATCTTTTTATTATATAATTAGCATTTGTAATTTATAGCATATTTTTTAACTTTTTTTTTTGAAAAATTGTCAAAATGGACCTTTGATACGTAACGCATCATATTGATATAGGGATGTTAATGGTTAATCCAGTCCAATTTAATTTTAAAAACTGAACTAAAACCAAGCAAATATAAAAAAAATTGAATTAAACTGGGGTTAAATATAAAAAAAACCCCAGAATTAAATATAAGAAAATTAGATTGAACAGGATCAAATATAAAAAAATTGAATTAGATTAAAATTAAATATAAAAGGTTTATATTTCCTTGCATATTTCTATGTATCCCTTGTACAATTATTAGTGTTTCGGGCGAATCCGAAATATTTCGCCAAATCCGAATCCGAAATACGGGCGATATTAATTTCGCCCAACATTTAAATTTTCAAAATTTCCGATAAAATTGGTAATTGCCCAAAATCTGAACTCAATCCAAAATATTATTCGAAACTCTATTAACCACGTGAACCAAATCTGGCCAATAGAAGTTGTGTATTTCTCGTACGCACGCACGTTGTTATGACAAGGGAGAAACTTTACTATTAGGCCACACAAATTTAATTAATTGATTTTCATATCATGAACTGGTGCCTAGTGACACGGCCGCACGGATTTTTTTTTTTTTAAGAAAAAAATTTTTTTAAAAAATAACTGACACGGCGTATTCATATACAATTATACTGTGTGGGAAAAATATGTGCGTGTAAAAATTACATTTAAAATGCTGATTGTTTATGTCAGTCACTCTGACCAGTTACAGTTAATAACCAGTTATAACTGGGGATGGGCCGCTGCACCGGCGGAATTTTTCAGAATTTAACAATTAATGCCTGCATTAGCAGAAAACTGCCTTAATGCGGGCCTGTGCAGTCTGCACAGTAAATTCAAAAAATCTTCGATTTGCCCATCCCTCGTTATAACTGTAACTGAACCCATCTTTATTCTGGAGCATAATATTAGATGATAATCTTTTTCTTAGTAATTAAAAACGGATAATCAATTTCAATTACTATCATTATCGTTGATGGGATGTTCTTTTGTCATCGAATTGCGAGATCAGATGACTTTATAGATGCTTAGATTGACATTTTATGAACTGTAATGGTTGCTGTGTTGTTCTCGTTAGATCAGGTTTTTCTTGGTTAAGTTTATGATCGTTAAATGGCGAACAGATGTGGATGTTAGCAAATTAGTGCTAAAGTAAAGGTGTATTTTTATATGGCTTCAAGCGTAAATCAGACCAGTGGAACGGAGGGAGGAAAGATGTAATCTAGTGTATTTAAGGGTGATGTTTTTTTAATAAAAAAAGCTTATCTTACTCTTTGCTATAAGCTTGCCTTGCAGGAAGACTACTCTATCGCCCCTCCCATCCCACCCACAGTGCAGTGATCCACAATAAGTTTACATACTTGACGGTTTACTTATATGATAATGTCAGACAGTAGCTGATTTTTTTTGGTTTTTTTATTTTTGTAACTATGAAGATCTGCGGCTGCTGCAATAGTACAAGGATTTTGTTTTTGTAGTGATTAGGCTCCGAGGCTGGAGTAATACAAGGATTTTGTTTTTTTAGTGATTAGCTCCGAGGCTGCAGTAGTACAAGGATTTTGTTTTTGTAGCGATTAGGCTCCAAGACTGCAGTAGCAGTGCAAGGACCTTAGTAATTAGGCTCTACTGTGATGTAATGTAATACCTGGTTAATGTTTTTGTAGGCTGCAGTAGCAGTATGATACGGCTAGGGAGAGTCAATTTAGTTAGTGTCGTAAGCATAAAACCTGATGGTAAGTGGTCCTTATTTAGTAGTGGTTATCAACTAAGGTATGCTAATGCGTCATAGGGGTTGTGCAATGCTACACTTAGGTTATATCATTGCCTTAATTAAGCTATATTCGTAAGATGTCGGGTTACATTTAGGTTACTTGGGTCCAAGTTAGGTCGCTACGGGTTAGGTTCAAGTTGATTACCTCGTGCCACTTAGGCCGTTCGAAGTTAATTCTTCGGTTAACATTACCTCCCAGTTGAAGTCTCCCTCCGAAGAATGAACAACCAATCAAAACGCTGGATAACTCTCGCCGATCACTTGATTTACATCGACCAATGGAATTGGCCCATATTTGTTTATTTTTATATATTCGTTTCATTTTACCCCTCCCAGAAGTCCTAGAAATTGATGTTAACCGAAGAATCAACTTCGAATGGCCTTAGTAAACGGGGACGAAGCCGACAGGTCACTTATTATTGTATTATTTAGGTGCTAACAACTATACTTATTATTGGAGCCAAATAAGAAAGAGTTGGTTTATTTATTGATGTGCAAGGGTTTCAAACCCGGATTCGGGGTTTCAAACCCAGATCTTAACCCTGAGTTTCAAGCCCAAACCCCGGTTTCAAACCCGTACACGTGCTATTACTGTCGTGACTACACTACATAGCGAAATTTATAAGGTAAGAAAAAATGTCAAAATTTTTCGTAACACAGTATGAGAACCTGGCAGTTAGGCTTCGCGGCTGCGGTAGTAGTGAAAAAACCTTCTTTTAGGTTCCATGGCTACCGTAGTAGGCATGGACCTTCGTTAAATGGGTTGCAGGCTCCGTGGCTGAGATAATAGTGCAGTGTATTTAAAAAACCCAGTTTACTTCAAGTCACCATAACTCAATCCTGTATATACCTGAGTACTCACATACATCTGTATAAACTTTACTGACGCTGATCATACTGGCCTTGCGTGGCAACATGTGCTGCGCAGCTACCTTATTAATTTATTCTTTTATAATAAATCGCTATCGTATTAAACTTTATTGGATCAATAATGTCTATTTATCATGTGATTTAATTTCATAAATCCTATTGGTTAATTATATTAAAAAAAAAAAAATTTAGATCTTGTTTCATTGACCCGGGCGGGATATGAAAATCAATTATATTAATTTGTGTCGCCTTACTCTGCCAATTTAACTGCTGGTCGTAAGCATTAAAAATAGGAAACCGACTGTTTATTACAATGCACAATACTAAAAATGTAACCGATTCAAGTATCTTACCCAGTACACAAAAGAATCTCTAACTAACTTGTGTCTCTCTTATCAGTGTTCTATAACTCTATTTATATTCTATCTATTAGGCTTTAATTAGCTATTATGCATATCTGATATAGTAATTCACTTCGTACGTACGTACTAGAGTTGCTGGTGAAACTGGTGACTATCTAAAATCTGATTGGCTATTGCACTTAATAACCAATCAGATTTTAGATAGTCA